TTGGGTGCAGCTGTTTTTTATTTCAGGGAGACAGCAGGGGAGGGGGCTCAGTCTTTCTTGGCAGCAGCTTTCCTCATGGCGGCCAGGACATTGCTCAGCTCCTCCCGCTTCCACTTGGCCCGGATGTGTGTCCCCACCCTTTTCTTGATGAACTTGAGGGCCCGTTTGTCCTTGGAGACCTTCAGCAACTCCATGGCGTGCCGCTCATATGGGGCAAAGCCACACACCTCCCGGATCATGTCCCGCACGAACTTGGTGTGTTTGGTCAGACGCCCGCGGTGGTGGCTGTGCCTGGGCTTGCTCACGTTCTTGGTTACCTTGTGGCCCTTGTTGAGGCCCACGGCCATAGGATACCGAAGAGCCATGGCTGCTACTCTCCAATGGCGACCATGGCGGAAGGCAGATCTCTCCTTTCTTATCATGTGGCCACTTATTGCTATATATTTTCCTCTAGAGACTGCTTTAAATGTGTCCCAGAGATTCTGGTATGTTGTGTCTTCATTCTCATTGGTTTCGAAGAACATCTTTATATCTGCCTTCATTTCATTGTTAATCCAGTCAACATTCAAGAGCCAGTTGCTCAGTTTCCATGAAGCTGTGCGGTTCTGAGTTAGTTTCTGAATTCTGAGTTCTAACTGAATTGCACTGTGGTCTGAGAGACAGTTTGGTATGATTTCTGTTCTTTTGCATTTGCTGAGGAGTGATTTATTTCCAATTATGTGGTCAATTTTAGAATAGTTGCGATGTGGTGCTGAGAAGAATGTATATTCTGTGGATTTGGGGTGGAGAGCTCTGTAAATGTCTATTAGGTGTGTTTGGTTTAGGTCTGAGTTCCAGTCCTGGATATCCTTGTTAATTTTCTGTCTGGTTGATCTGTCTAATATTGACAATGGGGTGTTAAAGTCTCCCACTGTAATTGTGTGGGAGTCTAAGTCTGTCTGTTAAGTCATTAAGAATTTGCCTTATGTATCTGGGTGCTCCTGTATTGGGTGCGTATATATTTAGGATCGTTATCTCTTCTTGTTGCATTGATCCTTTTACCATTATCTAATGTCCTTCTTTGTCTCTTTTGATCTTTGTTGCTTTAAAGTCTATTTTATCAGAGATGAGAATTGCAACTCCTGCTTTTTTTTGCTCTCCATTTGCTTGGTAAATCTTCCTCCATCCCTTTATTTTGAGCCTTTGTGTATCCTTGCATGTGAGATGGGT